CCCCCCGTTTAATTAGGTATGAAATATATTGCGTTATTTAATCATTGGTTTTGTTTATATAAGTTAATTTAGGAATTGTAATTATTTTTAAAAAATAAATATGAGAATTTTGTATTTTTTAAACTTGTTTTTCTTGTCTAAACTTGTAAATTTTTTATTCTTTTAAATGTTATATTTCTACCATTTTTTCTCTTTAAAGTTAGGAGTACCTTTCTTTTTTCTCTTACTCTATGCATTACACTTGTCGGTATTGCAGATAAAGTTCGATAAACAAATTCGTAAATTAAAATCCATATTAATAAAAGTGTAAAAAAAGAAATATGCAAGAAAATTTCAGCATATATTTTGAAAAGAGGGGAGGTGTGGGGGAAGGAGGAGAGGGCCCAAAAACGGCTATGCCTAGGGCCTACGAAAGGTATAATCCGGCTCTGTGCCTAGGGCCTACGAAAGGTATAATCCGGCTCTGATAATGAGACATACACATTGAATTTTCAACAAAATTGAACTTTTTTACTTTTTTTGTAAGTAGGCTTGCTAAACATGTTTATGACACATAATGAAAATTGCGAAAATTTACTATAGACAAATTAATTATAGGCTATAATAAATAAAGAAAAAATATTTTAAATGATTTTAACATGATTGAGAAATCAGTTTAATAATATGTTTATTAATATAATGCAGCATTAAATAAAATAATGAACAATGAAAATATTTTTTTAATCTTTTTTGCAAAATGCTTGTTTTCTGTTTTACAAATAAAAATGCTTTTTGAAAACAATACAATAATTATACAATACTTATACAATACAATAAAAACAATGCATATACACACAAAAAAAGTTTGCTAATAAAAACATAATGCATATACATACAATAGAAATTGATAATGGAAGAACATAATGCATATACATGTAACAGAAATTTGTTAACACTGATAATAGACTGAATAAGCTGAAAAATAAAATATAAAAAACACCCCAGTCTTATTTATGCTTTTGACTAAGTATCAGAGTATCTTAAACAAAATTAAAAAAAGTTCTTCCAGCTTTTAATCTTAACTCTTTCAATAATTACATTAACAAATTTTAAAAACAATAAGAAGACTGATTTGGTGATACTCTATTTTACTTGAAGAATTTTAAGAAACATCATAACTAAACTTTTAATTTGCTAGCATTAATTTATTTCATTTAGATATTTTTGAAAGATTCATATAAGCATTTAAAAAATGTATTTTATTTATAAAAATTTAGATTTATAGATATATTTAAAAAAATATTATATTTATATACAGTAGGATAGAATAGTATATATATATATAGTTTATTTATAGAAATGCAGATATAAATTAGCAGTTAAACTCAAAACTGCAAAAGTTTGAAAAATAATGCATAAGTAATAACTAAATTATGAAGAACATTTACAATTTTTTTTTAAAAGAAAGAAAACAAACTGAGCATATTTAAATTGGCACAAGCTAGGCTATTAATTAAATTTTCAGTTTTATTATTTAATAAAATAACCTCATTTTATTCATTTTACTTATTAGCAATATTATACTACAATTATCTAAGACAAATATAATTTTGGTTAGAATTTCAATTAGCAAATTTTTTATTACACTTCTTATCAAAAATTAAGGAAAAGTGAATATGCATTTTGTCAGAACATAGGAATTTTTTTTTAAATATTTTCTAATCTCCTTAACCTTCCGTTAGTCGCGCACTTGTTTCCGACATGGTTAATCGCGTTGCACCTATGAGGTGTTTCTGATTTTTTGAAAGCCAAATGAAATTTAGTCTAGTTTAAATAGTTAATTGTTTCCAATTTAAGACTCTTTACAGAGATAAATATCAAAAAATTTATTTAGCGAAGTACCGAAGATGAATTTTTCTTGCTCCCGCGTCGGATCTCTTCCTCCATCCCAAGATAATCAACCAATTGACGCAAGAAGGTTCTGTGGTTTTTTACTCCGTAACCATTTTCTTCGTATATAACTTGACCATTTATACCTGCTACGTTGAGTAGGACAGAAAATGAGATAAAATATATATATTTAATTCATAAAAATATTATATCCATAATACTTGCGTCAATGGTCGCGCTGCACCAGAGGGGTGATTTGAGCGGTTCCAACTCTCCATCGACATGTTCTAAGGTCGGTTTTACACGGACATTTGAGTAATCCAAAGTTAGGAACATAACATTAGACTCGACCCCCGGAAAAATCTTTTGACGGCAAAGGAGGTGGAAATGCAGTAGGGATGCACCTGTGAGGTGCGCGCGACTAACGGAAGGTTAATGATAATACATCTACTAAGTCTACCGGTATATATATATATATAGAAGTCTTCTGGTTAGCAAATAATTAAATAAAAACTCTTTGATTTACTAACCTAACATTTAGATTGTTACACTCAGCAAATGAACACTTTGAATTTAAAATAAAACTACAGATTAGTTGGTCATTACTTAATTACTAAATGATTAAGAAATTTCAACTAAAACTTACGTAGAAGAAATAAGAGTGAATACTTTTTAATGTAAGTTCAGAGCTTCGTAGAAAAAAATATTGCAAATTATTTTATTGTAAAAATGCAAGCTACCTTAGCACAAAAGGTAGTATTTCCATAACTGTTCCAACCAATTTCAATTGCTCAGGTGATTTAAAATTTTTTAAAGTAATTTGTTGAGACTAGGAGTTATACCATTCGAGTTGGTCTCCTTCCTGGGTGGTTTCTTCCGGGCCACTAGTAGGAAGTCACCAAAACTTGGCGCTTATTTAGGAGTAGATACAGATACGGAAATTTTAAAGAAACTAGAGATTAAAAACACTTACCAAGATTCATCATCTGACATTTCAATATCACTGAGCTTAATAATATCTAAGTCGTCAAAATACTCGTCTCTCACACTATTAGGATTTTCATCATCAGAAATCTTTCGACGTGATTTAAGTTCTTTAACGGGTGAAACAGATCTTTTATTTGGTGTATTCTGTTTATTTCTTAAATGCAAATTTTGCATTTCTAGTTTTCTCACTAATTCTTGAAGCTTCTTTACCTCTTCTATAGTATTAACAGAATGTTTCATTTCTTCAGTAATAAGACTCATAATTGTAAATTATTCTAAACACATTCAGTATTTTATGAAACAAACAAAGTTAGTCAAATTTAACGAAAACAATGGAATTCAGAAACTGCCAAAAACTAATATGCAGAATAAAACCAACATTTTATTCTTCTACTAAGTTTTAACCCCTGACGTCAAGCAAAATAATAAATAAATATAAGTGCGTAGGTACTGGACGGTATATTTAGAGCTTTCTGCTTTAAGTAATAAGCTTATAGCTTACAAACAATTTGAAATTTAAGTTAAGAAAATTGAAGATTACAAGCAAAGCTGTAATAAGCAGCTGCAATCTTTCTAACCGGAAATTGAACAAGTCAAGAGCTGGAGATTAGTGCCGTAGATATGAGGAACCCGTAAGAGGAAGAGAAGGTCCTATCAACCCGATGGCAACGAAAAACAGGTTTTTTAGGTATACCTTATTTTTGTGGTTTATCTTATTATTGGCGGTTAAAAGAAATTCAGAGTTTCATAGATAAGAGGAACCCGCAAAAGGAAGTGAAGGTCCTATCTTTTCTATCTGTTAAATCGCCACATCGCCAGCGTTCGTATGCATGCTTGTTGTGATGGCTTGGTAATTTCACGTGCCGAAATTTTACTGCATGGAATAGAAGTCTAATCTGTTGTGGTAAGTAAAAATTATTAATATATTAGTTTTATACATTTATTTTTTAATTAATTAAATTTTAAAACGTTGCATGAATGTTAATATATTACGTTCTATAAAACGCAAACATTATTCACGCGTTAAAAATTCATTCTCAATGGAAAATAATTTTCCATTGGATATGAATTTCAAAATTCAACTTAACTAGAAATTTATTTTTATATTCATTAATTGATTGGGCGGTTATTGTTTAAAAAATTCGGTGGATAATTTTTGCAGAGGAAAATTTTTGATAACCTAAAAATGTTTTCATATTGGAATATTTATTCTGATGTAAATGTTTTGATCATTAAGAATGTTTTAGTTAAATCAGCGGTAATATAGCAAAAATGAGCTTGCATAAATTTTTGGAAATTATATAGTCTGTTATTTATGTATAATAATAAATGAACTTATATAGAGAGAAATGCTTGTGTGTTGTACTGTTTGTCATTAAAATTTAGGAACGATGCTAAAATTTATATAATGTCTAGTTTATAATAAGGAATATTGAAATATGAAGGTTGCATTTTTTAGGATAGCTGTATTTAGAAGAAGTGGTTGTCCGCGCCCTCATTGGCGAGCTTATAATGCGCCAAACGTAGCTTTCTAGCTCTCTCTTCTCATTCAATAAAAAATTACCGAACGTTACAGTCCACCTGACTCTATTAGCTCCGACATCTTTGGTCCTAGCGACCTGGAGCAGAACTAGCCTCAATATGAGCACAATTAACTCAATAACAAATCTTAATCGCCAACGTGGGGCAATTAAAACAAAAATAGACAAAATCCAAAAATTTTTGGAAGAACATTCAACGCAGCAGGATGCAAGCGCCACTGCCATCATTCTCAAAAAGAAATTGAAAGTAGCGATAGAACTACAAGCATCGATATCAGAACTGATAAAAGGATATACGCTACTTCCAGAAGAAATTGATCTAAAAGACAATCTAGATGTTGCTCAAAATGTAGAAGATGAAATCGAAGAAATAGAGGTAAAGATTAATATTTTACTCTCTAAAATTGATAATAATAAACCTAATGAAACGGAATCAAATGCTTCATGTACCAATATTTATAAAATTCCTGATTTACCGTTACCTTTCTTTTCCGGAAGATATGAAGAATTTCAAAATTTTAAAATTCAATTTAATTCTATTATTGGAAATAATAAAGAGTAGAGCGACACACAACGACTGTGCTATCTTTAAAGCTGCCTCAAAGGCGAAGCAAAACGCCTTGAGTCAGCCCAAGATACATTTGAATCTTTATGGTCTTCCCTTGAAGATAGATACGGGAACAAACGAGCAGTTATCGATTGCCATGTTAATAAATTATTAAATTTTTCAAGAGTCCCTGACGCTCCTAATCAGCTCATGCAATTAATCGATAACACTAAATGTAATTTACGAGCATTAAACTTGCTTGAATTTAAATCAAATGAGCTATCAGATATATTGATAATGCACATTTTATTCCAAAAACTCGATCCAGAAGTTAGAAAAAGTTTGAAATGAGATTGTCGAAAAACGAAATACCCAAACTAGACAATTTTCTAAGTTTTTTGGAAGACCGTTCTAGAATTATGCAAGGTCTTAATATTAAAGAGGAAAGAAAGAAGCCCCATTTTAGTTCAAGGCCAAATACAGAGAAAATGTATTTAATTAAATCGAAAGTGAATAACCCATGTTTACTAGGCTGTAGGGAAAGTCATAAACTTTATAAATGCGATCATTTCAAACGAATGAGTGTAAATCAGCGAATTGAAATAGTAAAAACTCATAATTTGTGTTTTGCATGCCTAAATAAGCACTTTCCTAATCCTTGTATGTCAAAATACACTTGCTTTTGTAAAAGCAAAGATCATCATTCTTTACTTCATGAAAATAAAAAAAAATTAGTCGTTTACATTTGATACACCAGCAGAAGAGAAAAGGGAGACAGATATCTTGTCACCCCACTCCCCTCCTTCCACTCCTTCGAACACTTTGTTTACGAATAAAAACGAAAATGCTAATTGCGTGATTTTAAATACGGCGGTTGTTTATATTAAAGATGGGCAGAGCATATTTAGACCATTAATCGCCACTTTAGATAGTTGTTCAAGTTCGAATTTAATAAGCAGTAGAGCTGCTAATTTATTGGGTTTAAAGAAACAAAAAACAAATGTTCCGATTTCTGGTATTAATGATTCGTGCATTACAGCTAAATCATTTGTTCGTACCGAGTTAACAAATGAAGAAAATAATAAATCTTATTATTTAGACTTGTTAATAGTTCCTAAAATTACGGTTCTTCCACCCACATTTGTAAACATATCGAATTTAAGTTTATCTGAAAAAATAAAACTTGCCGATAATAATTGGAATAAACCAAAACGAATTGATGCGCTTTTAGGAGCAGAATTATTCTTTGAACTATTGGGTACGAATAAAATTAAAATTAAAGATTCCCAATTAATATTAATTGAAACGGTTTTTGGTCATGTTGTATCGGGAGTTGCGAACAACTTAAATTCTAATTTAGAGAAAATTAACGATTCGTGTTTTTTACTTGCTGAAACCGAAAATCTTGATCAGGCGTTAACTTCCTTTTGGGAAATAGAATACGTAAACGAAAATAAACCAATGGTTGATGACGAATTAAACTATTGTAATGAGCATTTTTTAAATACTCACTACCGAAAAACAGATGGTAGATACGTGGTAGAATTGCCGATTAAACAACAATATTCAGCTAATATTTCATTAGGTGATTCGAAACAAATTGCGCCTAAGAGATTAAAACAATTATGGAATCGCTTAGATCGTGATCCTAAATTAAAAGAATTGTACATTAGTTTTATTTGCGAGTGCGAATCTTTAGGTCACATGGAAGAAATTTGCTATGAATCAATTCCGGACGAAGGATATTTTTTACCCCATCATGGTGTATTGCGACCGTCCAGCACTTCAACTAAACTAAGGGTTGTTTTTGATGGGAGTTGTAAAACTACGAATGGAATGTCCTTAAATGATTTTTTATGTAAAGGCGGAATCATACAGGATGATCTTTTTACAATTATTGTTCGTTTTCGGAAACATATTTTCGCATTTACGGCCGATATAAATAAAATGTTTCGGCAAATCGAAATAAATCCGTTGCAAACTAAGTATCAAAAAATTTTGTGGAAAGAGGGGAGGGAGGAACCTCTCAAGGTCTACAGTTTGAAAACCGTTACCTATGGTTGTGCATCCAGTCCCTATCTTGCTACAAGAGTTCTGCATCAAATTGCAACCGATGAAGAAAAGAATTTTCCTAATGTCTCCAAGATTTTAATGAACGATTTTTATATAGATGACTACCTTTCGGGGTCAAACAGTATTGAGGAATTTAATGAACTAAGACAACAACTAACTAAGCTCCTTCAAAAGGGACAAATGAACTTACATAAATGGCGTTGCAACGCCATTGATACTTCAGCGGAATCATCTCAATCTTTTCCCTTCAAACAAGATTGTGCAGATACTACCACAAAAACTCTGGGAATACTGTGGAATAGTAGAAAGGATACTTTTCACTTCAATATCACAGCAGCTTTAAGCTCGAACTACACTAAACGTGAAGTGCTAAGCCAAATTGCTAAAATCTTTGACCCATTGGGACTACTTGGTCCTGTTATCTGCAGTGCTAAAATATTCATGCAGCAATTGTGGCTTTTAAAATGTGAATGGAACGAAATGATTCCACCTCACGTTTACCAAAAATGGGACAAATTTTTACGATCTCTTTCTTACATAGAAACTTTGCAAATCCCAAGATGCATTATGATCCTGGAACCAACGATTATTCGTCTACAAGGCTTTGCAGACGCCAGTGAAAAAGCCTACGGTGCCTGCATCTACATGCAAACTGTTTCCAATTCCAATGTGCCTTCCAGTCAGCTAATTTGCAGCAAAAGCAGAGTGGTTCCTATTAAGACCATAAGTATCCCCAGACTTGAACTTTCAGCTTGCTCACTATTGTGTCAACTCGTGCATCGAGTTATTTCATCTCTAAAAATTAAATTCGATCAAGTCATCTTGTACTCCGATTCCACGATCGCATTAGCTTGGATCAAGACCTCACCCCATCTTCTTAAGACTTTCGTCAGCAATCGAGTGGTACAAATACAAGAACTGTCCAAGGACTTTCTCTGGAAACACATTGCACCAGAATTTAACCCGGCAGATGCCTTGTCCAGAAGTCAAGATGCCTTTGTTTTTTCTACCAATAAGCTTTGGTGGAAAGGCCCTATGTTCCTGAGTGAGAACATAATTAAAAACAATGAACCTGAACTAGATTTAATTCCTGATTGTGAACTATTTCAGAGAGAGCTGAAACCAGTTCTGCTACTGACTTCAATCACCAACAATGACTTTATTGATGACTTTTTAAATCTTTCAAATAATTACATGAAACTAATAAGAATTTCAGCTTTTATTTTTAGGTTTCTCTCAAATTGTAGAAATGTTAATAAATTTAGGGGTCCTCGCAATGTAAAAGAATTAGATAAAGCCAGAAATGTTATTATAAAACAGGTGCAAGGTGAGTACTTTGTTGCAATCATCTCAGCCTTAAAAAAAGGTAAGCCTGTACCTGTAAATAGTAAATTGAAATTTTTGAATCCATTTTTAGATCAGGATGGTTTGCTTAGAGTTGGTGGTCGGTTGACCAATTCTAATTTGAATTATAATTCTGTTCATCAAATAATATTACCTCCTGGTCATAAACTTTCTAAGATTATTTTTTCTTATTTTCATTTGAGAGATTTGCATTTTGGTCCTCAAGGACTATTAAATACGGTACGACAAATTTTTTGGCCAATCAGTGGCAGAAAATTAGCTCGACAAGTTGTGCACGATTGTGTGCAGTGTTTTAAAATAAGGCCAACAGTCTCTTCTCAAATAATGGGTGATCTCCCTCCTGAGAGGGTGATTCCTAGCCAACCCTTCTCGAACGCAGGACTTGACTTGTGTGGTCCATTGTGGATTAAATATCGTAACCAAAGAGAGGGGTTATATAACAAAGTATATGTAGCTATTTTTATATGCATGGTCACTAAAGCTGTACATTTTGAATTATTGTCTGATTTAACATCTAGTGCTTTAATAGCTACACTTAAACGGTTTTTTGCCCCCAGAGGTAAAAGTTGTACTATATCTTGTGACAATGCGTCCAATTTTGTTGGCGCTTCGGCTGAGATAAGAAAATTTTAAAGTCTTTAAATGCTAAAAAAGATAATTTATCAGGTTTCCTTTCATCGGAGCAAGTACTGGGGAAATTTCTACCCCCTCATTCACCAAATTTTGGCGGATTATGGGAGAGAGGAGTCGGACAATTCAAATATCACCTTAAAAGAACCATTGGTTCTACGAAATTAACATTAGAAGAATTTCTAACCATAACTATTCAAATAGAAGCTATACTTAATTCCCGTCCTCTTTCTCCTATGTCATCTGATCCAGAAAATTATGAAATTTTAACTCCTGGACATCTTTTAATTGGAAGAACAATTAATGCTCTTCCTGAGCAAAATTTGATTGATTTTAAAGAAAACTTGCTTAACCGATGGCAGAAAACTCAAAAAATTGTTCAAACAATATGGAAAAATTGGTGTAACTCTTATATCAGTCATTTACAATAAAGATCAAAATGGTTGTTTCAAAAACAAAATGTTAACCCAGGTATGATGGTTCTGGTAAAAGAAAGCAATTTACCTATATGTAAATGGGTTATAGGACGAATTTCTGAAATTATCACCGGTAAGGATGATAATGTCCGTGTGGTGTTCGTACGCACACCTCATGGAATATTCAGAAGAAGCATTTCAAATATTGCTGTATTACCAATTGTTAACAATACTTAAATTTATTTGTTGAATTCAAAATGTGAAAAAATAATTGTATTAATATTGCTTAAATTTGTATTTTTATTATTATTACTTTTTTATTATTATTGTTATTTTTATGATTATTGAAACATTCAAATGTCAGAATAATTCAATGGGGGCCGGGATGTCCGCTCCCTCATTGGCGAGCTTGTAATGCGCCAAACGTAGCTTTCTAGCGCTCTCTTCTCATTCAATAAAAAATTACCAAACGTTACAGTCCACCTGACTCTATTAGCTCCGACAGTGGTGATTAAAGTTACAAGTATTTTAGATCTTCAAATCATCTTTATATATTTCAAAATTGATAGATGAGATTTATGTATTCAAAATAAATTAGTTAACTCTGTAAATGAGTATTTTTTGTCTGTGTGAGAAGTTTATCCCTTTTGACATTGTAATTCTTTAATGCATAGTATTTTTAATGTTTTTTTTTCTCTAGTGGTTCATGATTCATGTACAGGAAAGACTGGAATCATCTCTGTGTACCACATACAATTGGCTGATTGTGGAGAGGATAAACTTGGTGAAACAGTAGCTAGAGAACTGCCTATTTAGATAGTTTATTAAACTTTCTATATAGATGTCTTTAAAATTGTTATCTTTTTATTGCTTTTCCAAGTTCGGTATGTTGTAATCATATCATTTGTTCACGTGTCGAGTAGCTCGGTTGGGGGGAGGAGGAAGTAAGAGTTTGATTATTTTAGCATATTAATAATTTATTTACAAACAATATTTACAGACATCAATAACTGCATCATTCTTCACATCAGGCTCATTTGGCGCGCACCTCTACGCTCTCTCACATTTGCAAAACAGACACAGCAGTTGTGGCGCTGCGCCACCTGCCGGACATTAAGGGGAAAATGTTAACTTTCGGGCATCCTGATGATACAATTGTCCTCAATTGACACTTACTTAACAAAAGATACATACATCGATTATTACATAATAGATATAGACAATTAACATTTTTTTTCATACTTGATACACATTTATTTGTTTTGTTTTTTTTTTAAATATGAATGAATAAAAATTTTAAAGTTCTACTACGGTTTTTTTTTTGTCTTGCTTAATAGTTCTGTTTTTTTTTTAATTGTTCCAAAATAAAAAGTCCTTCAAATGTTGAATACTAAAGTTCTATTCTTANTATTGCCAAAAGGCTTAAATACTTCAAACAACGCTTTTATTTCGCATCGCATAAAAAAAGAGATTATAAATATTTTAGGAAGGGCGCCAGTGCGAGATTTGCCATAGGCGCTTCCTTCCATAGATACGCCTCTGGTTGCATAGTACCTATTTCCCACTTTTTCCTCCATTTGGGTCACTCTGTACGTATCGTTGGGGAGGACTTCAGTCACAAGTAGAGGACCTCTGTACTTTGGCTGAATCTTTGTTGGTTCTCCTGTTGCTTTTGCTGGACGTCGGACAATTTTCATTCACTTCGTAATCACGTAAATTTTCACGTCGGACAACCACTATTTCTCCCGGTTCAAAAGTCATGGTTCGACACTTTTTCTTATCGTAGTAGTCCTTCATTTTACGTTGTTTCTTTTCAATCACACTGGTTGCTTCTTCTTGAAGTTCCTTGGGATCAGTCTATTTGTCTGCACTCTCGTCGGCAAGTTTTTGAAGGATACCATCAGTGAATTTTGGAGAATATCCATGCAAGATTTCAAAAGGCGTTTTATCAGTAGTTTTATTGACGGTGTTGTTTGAATTTCTTTCAGTTTCTTTGATTCGTAAATCCCAATCTTTATGACGTGGATCACTCATCGATGTTGTTATTGTGGATAGAATTGCTTTATTAGCCCGTTCTACCATTCCGTTACCCATGGGATGTTAGGTGGAATTAAATGTGTGATTTATTCCATTGTCGTGACAGTATTGTTCAAACTGATGTGACGTATAGCATGAACCTCTGTCACTAATAATCCGATCAGGCAGTCCAAAATCCTGAACGAAATTCTCCAGAGCTTTTAAAACGTGTTGAGAAGATGTGTTCTTGACTGGAGAAAGTCTGGTTAATCTTGTAAAATTATCTATGATAACGAGCAAATCCTGATTTCCACTAGAACTCTTCACAAATGGGCCTAAATGGTCCATGTGTATGATTGAGAATGGTCTTTTTCCTGGCTTAATTGGATGTAAATGTCCCTGTTGCTTTCCCCGGGGAATTTTATTCACTAGACATTCAAAACACATGGATATGTGTTTCCTTAAATAACGCTTCATGTAGGGAAACCAATAAAGTTCTTTGATTTTGTTGACAGTCCTGTCAAGAAAAAAATGTATCATCAAATCATGAAATTTAACAGCGGTACTTTTTCTCATACTTTTTGGGATCACGTAGAGTAGTTTTTCCTTTCCTTTTTCTTGTATTCTTCGGTATAATCGATTTCTCTTGAAAACATAATTACTTATTTTCTGTCTTTCTTCCGCAGATCTTTCTCCTTCATCTTTCTTAAAAATGTCTATTAATGTCTTTAACTCCTTGTCAGTATGTTGGATAATTAAAATTTGCTCATCTTCGCTCAGTGTTAGACATACTTCAAATTTTTTCTCTATAAGGCTTGTCATGGTATCTTCTGGGTCTGAGATAGGAGCTCTGCTCAAAGCATCTACGTGGGTCATTTTAATGCCTGGTTTGTGGCGAACTTCAAAATTGTACTCTTGTACTAGAATACTCCATCGAGCGATTTGGGGATTACTTGACTTTTTGTGTATTCATGTAGATTAATGCTTGACAATCTGTCACAACTGTAAAATTGATACCTAACAAAAACTGTCTGAGTCTTTCTAGTGTCCAAACTATGGTCATCAACTCCAATTTACTTGAATGGTAATTCCTTTCAGGTTCAGTAGTCTTCTTGCTGTCACAGTAAACTAGGTGTCACTTATCATCGCTTCCCAACTGAAGTAACATTCCTGCGATGCCGTCTGCACTTGCATCAGTATGAACTTCGGTTTTAGCTTCAGGATTGTAAAGTGCCAAAATTGGTTGTCGTGCGAGCTCATTTTTCAATATTTCGAAAGATTTCTTTTTCTTTTCGTCCCACTTAAATTCTTCATTCTTTTTAGTTAATTCGGTTAAGGGTTTAGCTTTTATGGCGTAATTCTGAATAAACCTTCTAAAAAAACTTGTTAAACCAAGAAAACGTCTAACCTCATGCACATTTTTAGGTTCGGGAAACTTGGAAATTACCTCAACCATTCTGGAGCCCGGTGTTATCCCATCTTTATTAACAATAAATCCCAGAAATTCAACTTCATTTTTTGCAAACACACACTTTAATGTCAAATTTGCTTCCCGTAATGCCTCAAATACCTTAATTAATTTATTTAGCATTTCTTCCCACGTTTTAGCATGAACAAGAATGTCGTCAAGATAACATAAAACATCCTTGTTACATAAACATCCTAACACGCGATACATTAAACGTTGGAATTCTGCTGGAGCATTGGTAAGACCAAATATCATTCTTTCAAATTGTCCGGTTTCATCTGGAGTGATAAACGCGGTTTTTAATTTCGCTTCTTCGGTTAATTGAAGCTGTAAATAACCGTGAGCCAAATCTAAAACTGAAAACAGACTACAATCGTGTAGTTGTTCCAATAAGTCATCGATTTTTGGAAGGGGAAATTTATCTTTTATCGTTTGATTATTTAATTTTCTGTAATCAATAACTAACCGATTTTCACCTGTCTTCTTACGCACTAAAAGTACAGGACTCGAATATGGTGAACGCGTTTCTGTTACAATACCGTTTTCTTTCCATTC